TGAGAGAGAATTTTCCCGCTCAATTGTTTAAGCCGGCTTATTTTTTACCTATACTTCTCATACCTAATCTTCTTTATTATTGTTATACCTAAAAGCATTACGTGTGAGAGACAAAATTTCCCCGCTCAATTGTTTTAGTCGGCCTATCTTATAATTAAAAGCACTATGTATGGGGGAAAAAATTCATCCGCTCAATTTTTAGCCGGCTTATGAGCTTATCTTATAATCAAAACCAAGTTTTAGCCGGTTTATCTTCTTATATACCTAAAATCACTACGTATGACAGAGAAAATTCTCCTACTCAATTGTTTTCGCCGAATTATCTCATATACCTAATATAAAAGCACTACGTATGAGAGAGAAACATCCCCCGTTGAATTGTTTGACGTCTTATCTTATACTCCCTTCGGTCCTTAATGAAGTTTACACTTTGACTTCACACATATTAAGGAAATAATTAATTTTGACTTTACTGTAGAGTACACTGTTTGACACTATTTGGTGTAGATTTGTTTGTCAAATAAGGCAAATAAGGAAGTGTAAAGTTTAATATGGGACGGCCGAAAAAGTAAAGTGTAAAGTTAATTAAAGACCGGAGGGAGTACCTAAAAGTACAACATATGAGACTGAAAATTCTCTTGCTCAAGTTTTAATCGACTTATCATTTTTTTTTAAATTTTATATATGCAATATTGGTGTCATATGAAAGATCGTAAAAAATTATGAATTTTGATATACTTTATATAAAAATTAGATAAACGATCAAAAAGTTATAACACTTTGAAAGAATTGTGCTTTTTTACGCATTGGGCCCCACAAATTGATGCCATGTTTCATACTCCCTCCGTCCCTAATCTTTCTCCCTTTTCAGCTGGGCACATTTATTAAGATAGTGGGATTTGTGTGGTGGAGAGTTGTGCAGAGGAGAGAGAAATGTGTAAGAATGTGTAAGAATGGTTGTGAACCACAAATTTTTTATAAATGCTCACCTTCATTTGCTTTTATTATTAGTTGTTCCTTAATGCCCTTGGATTTGCCATGTGTCATTTGTATTAAAAAGGAGTGAATTATGGAAAGAAAATTCTTCCGCTCAATTGTTAGTCGGCTTATCATATTCTTATACCTAAAAACACTACATATGAGAGAGAAATTTCTTCCTTTCAATTGTTAGCCGACTTATCTTATATTAAAAAGAACTACATGTGAGAGAGAAAACTTTCACACACAACTATTAGCAAGCTTATCTTGTAAGACCTAAAAGTACCAAGTATGAGAGAAAAATTTCCCCGTTCAATTGTTAGTGAACGTATCTTCTTATACCTAAAAGCACTACATATGAGAGGGAAAGTTCTTCCGCTCAATTGTTAGCCGACTTATCTTATACTTAAATGAACCGTTTATGAGAGATCAAGTCTTCTCACTCAATTGTTAGCAAGCTTATCTTCTGATACCTAAAAGCGCTACATGTGAGAAAGAAAATATTTCCGTTCAATCGTTAGTCGACTTATCTTACCTAAAAGCCGCAAATTATACCGTATGACCGGTATATAGTGAGCACCGTATACCGTTATACGGACTTCTTTATTTTTTTCCTTTTGTTTTTAAAAATTGGTAATAACTTTTTTATTTTTGATCCGATTTTTATAAAATTTATATCAACATTTTTTATTTTTCATGATCTTTCAAATGAGACCAATATTGCTTATGTAATTTTAAGAAATTATTGAACTATTATATTAATGAGTATTGGATTATAAGAAAAATTGAACTAGATTTAATACAGAAAAATAATTGTGTAAATCACAATTTATCTTAAAATTGTGTATATAAAAAATTTATTTTATTATGTATTTATACATGTGAGTTACATATTTTTATACGTAAAGTTACATATTTGAACACGTAAAGTTACATATTTATACACACGAGTTGCATTTGGCTTGCCTGAACGCGAGTTACATATTTTTACACGTAAAGTTACATGCATATTTTTACACGTAAAGTTACATATTTATGCACGCGAGTTACATATTTATACACACGAGTTTTATTTGACCTGTCTGAACGCGAGTTACATATTTTTACACGTAAAGTTACATATTTTTACACGTAGAGTTACATATTTATACACACGCGTTGCATTTGGTCTGACTGGACGTGAGAGAGAGAATTTACAATGACAATACTAACATTTATGAAATCTCATTTTTTTAAAAAAATTACAGAAACAATGAAAACATTAATAAACCTTCATATATTTTTAAAATTTTATATATTGAATATTGATGTCATATGAAAGATTGTTAAAAATAATGAATTTTGATATACTTTTTATATCATGAATTATTTTCTTTATTTAATACGGAACATTCTGTATTGAGGTTGGTGTCATATGAAAGATCGTAAAAAAATATGGATTTTGATATAGTTTTTATAAAAAATTAGATAAATGCTAAAAACGTTATAACACTTGGAAAAAATCTAATACATATTTTCTAATGGGGATACTCTAATATCCTAATAAGCCTAGCATCATCAAAATCTAAATACAATTATTTCTTACAAATTTTATATATGCATTATTGGTGTCATATGAAAGATCGTAAAAAATTATGAATTTTGGTATATGTTTTATAAAAATCAGAGAAAAACTGAAAACCTTATAACACTTTAAAGAAAATGGATTTTTTTTTATATAATGAGCCCCATTAATTAATTGATCCCAAGTTTTTTGTTCAAATAGAAATTCAAATAGAAAGCCGGTGAGTTAGTTTTGGTGAGTTGGTTTAGAAAGCCATGTGCCATTTTTATAGGAAAAGAGCAAATTGTGGAGAGATGGACACATAGAATTCATTAAGGTCATAATTGTATTTTAATGAGCTATTTCTTTTCTTATATATAAATAGATTAATTAATTGATCCCACGTTTTTTGTTCAAATAGAAATTCAAATAGAAAGCCGGTGAGTTAGTTTTGGTGAGTTGGTTTAGAAAGCCATGTGGCATTTTTATAGGAAAAGAGCAAATTGTGGAGAGATGGACACATAGGATTCATTAAGGTCATAATTGTATTTTAATGAGCTATTTCTTTTCTTATATATAAATATAAATAGAAAAAACGTTATAACACTTTAAAGAAAATGGAATTTTTTTATATAATGAGACCCATTAATTAATTGATCCCACGTTTTTTGTTCAAATAGAAATTCATATAGAGAGCCGGTGAGTTAGTTTTGGTGAGTTGGTTTAGAAAGCCATGTGGCATTTTTATAGGAAATGAGCAAATTGTGGAGAGGTGGATACATAGGATTCATTAAGGTCATAATTGTATTTTAATGAGCTATTTCTTTTCTTATATATAAATAGAATATATATACATATAGTATCATCTATTGTCATGTGTTAAGTTGTTTTAATTAAAAATACTTGATAAGTTTAATTAAAAATATTATTAAATCATTTTTATATTAAAATTTGATAACTACTAAATGGTACCTATAAAAAGCAGTTATTGTACAAAAATAAAAATACAATTAGATCTTTTGGGTCAATATTTGTGAACAATGATTATTAATTATTAAATATTTATTTTCAACTATAACATAAAAATATGCTGGAGTAACTTACTTGAATAATTATTATAGAAATAATAGTTCAAAAAAGGTTGTTAAATAATAAGTATATTTGAAAATTATTTTGGTAATACTGTTGCGTTATTGGCTCCAAGCACAAATACCCCTAGGCGGTCCAACTAGCACGCGGGCCCAATTTCCGCACGAGATCCGTCGGTCGGTGATATTCTGATCTTATACTTGGTGATTTCTCGGATAGTGGTGCAGTGGTTGTATGTGAGAGAGCTCCCCAAAGCAGTCGGCGGAAGCGCATTAGTGCACTAGATGTGGAGCATTTTATTGTGGGGGGCTATCATGTGAGGGCTTGACACATCAACACCTTCTCCTATTACATTGTAGTATAAATACTCTCATTTATTTCATTATAAAGGGTTGACAAACTTGCACACTATATTTTAGATTTCAATTCTCTCTGACTCTTCTGTAATAAACTCAGTGTCGAACAGGAGGTCACGATTCGGCTCAGTAAGCCTGTAATAGAACTTGATCCACTTTCCCTCTCATCCTTTCTTGCTATTGCTTTTGCCTTCATATTGCGTTCATAATTAGTTGAAGATCCCACGAATGCCCAAAGGACTGTGTTGGGTATTTGGACGACGAGGAATTAACCTCAACATGGGGTAAAGAATCAATATTGAAGACAAAGAGTCTCAAATATAGATATTTGTATTTTGGATAACTCACAACATGCATGTGCCAACTCACTTAACCTACAATCCGTGCATTTTGACCCTCGAAGCCGATGTGTTATGAGTTCATCCGGATAAGAAATGATAACTCCAACCCATCATGAAATGAGATGAAATTGACTAGCAAACACTGATTTACGAATTCACATACAATTCACAGTCCTATGATTAAAAAAAAGTTACGCACATATTCTACCTTGCGGTGCACGGGCACACATACTAGTGTGTGTGTGTGTGTGTATATATATATATATATATATAGAGAGAGAGAGAGAGAGAGATCTTCAGGTCCGGAATTCTGGACCAGTACCGCCGTCCGGACGGTGGCGTTTGGTGGTCTTCCCGGTGGAATTTTTTGATGAAATTTTTATGGCATGTTCTACATCAAGTCTAGTTTATCCATAAAAAAAGTTCACCTAAGAACTCAATCAGGAAGGTCGTCAAATGATTTTTGAAATTTATCTACGTTTTATATGTATTTTCCGGCGCAGTTATCTTCCAAAAATCATTTGACGACCTTCCTAATTGAGTTTTTAGCTGATTTTTGTGTGTGGATAAACTAGACTTGATGTAGAACATGCCATAAAATTTTCATCAAAAAATTCCACTGGGAAGACCACCAAACATCGCCGTTCGGACGACGGTTTCGGTCAGGAATTCCTGACAAGAAGACTACTATATATATATATATATATATATATATATATATATATATATATATATATATATATATATATATATATATATATATATATATATATATATATATATATATATATATATATATATATATATATATATATGATTTCATTTAAAATGAGACTAATCTGAGTCGTCCAAATTCTTGATCTGATGCACACTAACCATTATCTAATGCACTATGCATTAAAACTTATGTGATGCATGCACTTGAGAACATGTGTATATAGTATATATACACTTGTATATGTTAAGAAGTGAAGCTACTCATTAATTAATAGGATTACCCAAAAACATGTATCAAGTTGATTATGATATATCGGACTCAGATTATTTATTTTAGCACACAATAATAATTATTTTAGCATACAACTGAAACTCAATCGAAGAAAAAAGTTAAACACCTATGCTCATGCCTCGAGTACCGATTACCGAACATGAAAAAGCTACGAGCTATTCCTCAATTATTATGTACGGAATATATAAAAATTAAAGCTTTATATGAAGAATGGTTCATTTTAATTAATGGGCATGCCTCGAATAAAGGATCCCCTGCATCATTATCAATTTATCATGCCTTAGCTTGATTCTCGAAAACTGAAATAGAGTGCTTCAACTCCTTTATACAACAAATTACACTTAACATTTTACATGGCGATCGAATTGTCTGTGCATAGTTAATTTTTTCGTTTTGTAAATAGAATCTGTTTTCACACCGAAAATTTCATTTAATTTGTCTGTGAGACAAACAATTCTTTTTGTCGATAAAAATGATTCTCTAAAAATATATTTGTGCACAAACAATATGATGGACATGTAGAATGGTGTCTACATATACAAAGAGCATTATTTCTGTTTCCTGAATACTCCATATTAATTAATGTGCATTGACTTTCTATTTACCGAAAAGCTATACCCACAATATTAAATACAGTATTACTTGAGCATCTTGAATAAATTGATGGACACTAAGCTAGCTCTAGTTGCCACCTTTTTAATCATTATATACCATATAATGTCATCCATCTTTTCTTTTATTAGTGGAACTCCAAAGTGGAAAGGCTCACAGACCCCCCTTTTTTAATCATATCGTCAACCATATGCTTCACTTCATTATTCATCAACCGTTGTGTACCATAATCGGAGAGATATCCTATAATTCGTTACAAGAACCTGCCACATATATGCTTCTTTTTTGTGTTAAATTTTAAAAGAAACACGTTCACACTGTGACCAAAGGGTTTCAAGCAACCTAACATACTCCTTCCGGTTCCAAAAGATCTCGACAATTTGACTTCACAATTTTTAAGGAAATAAACACTGTTTGACACTGTTTTGTGTAGATTTATTTGCCAAATAAGGCAAATAAGGAAGTGTAAAGATCTTTCTGGTACTGCTAAAAATGAAAAGTGTAAAGATCTTTCAGAACCGGAGGGAGTATATTATTAGGTGGTCCGGCTCTCCATAAGCATATATATAAACATTTCTACTTTAATTTATTCACATTTTCTTAAACTCCGATCCATGTCAAATCGAGAAGAATTTTATGAGATGGAGGGATATATACTACGTATAGATATTTCTAGCTAATCTATAAAAAACATGTTTGATATTTTATACTTTAACCCCGCAATGAGAAGCCCCCAACAGGCGGCACGCCAATGAATAGAGTAGGTGTAGCTCGCTCATGCAGAGTTCTAACATGAGTACATGACCTAGCTACCTATCAGTTATGAAACAAGAAATTATTGCATTGTACTTGTATATAACTAATTTATAGTTCAAATGTCATAGAATTAAATTAAAGTGTCTATAATTTATTCCCGTTTTAGGACCGATATGAGTTTTAATATTAGAGCATACCAACTATAAAAAGTACCGAGTAATATTTACAATATTAGCAAAATATTTAGTAATATTTACAATACCGAGAATTAAAACGTTCAAGCATATATATATATATATATATATATATATATATATATATATATATATATATATATATATATATATATATATATATATATATATGCTTGAACGTTTGGATAATGACACAAATAGGGAGATGACTAGATAGAATGGTTTAGATAATTGTTGAAGAATTGAAGGAAATATTTAAGACAAATTTACTATTACCCAACTCCGTCTTGGAAAGGTTGTCGAATTGACTTTTCTTGGTCAACGATGATAAACTTTGGACAATAACTTTAATGATTATATTTGTACATAATTTCTAAATTTTATACTTTTATGAAAATATTTTGAATAAGGAACATTTTGATATAGTTTTTATATTCAAAAGTATTTCGTATTAAAAAATATATTGGTCAAAGTTGATTGTCGTTGACTAAAAAAAGTCAATTTGACGAATCTTTCCAGGACGTAAGGAGTATTAGAGTACATGTAGAAGGACCGATATACGAAGTAAAAGTATAAAGATTTAGTGTTAGATTGATCTCATTCAATTCTTCATCATCATCGTCGTCATATAGCAAGACTTTTGTAAGTGTCAAATTCAGTTAATTAAATCAAAAGCGTCTGCCGCCGCCAAGGGAATTAGGAGACGGCCAGTAATCTGCGGCAGCTCCTCCATTAATGTCGCCGCCGATGATGCCGCAGCTTCCCACGCTTACAAGTTGAGTGCATTCCAATGGAACCAAGCACAACCCTTTGCTCCTTAAATCCTTTCCTCCCTTTTCTACGGATTCCTACCATTAGTTATCACCACATTATTAACTCCATATTAACTCATTGATCATATAATATCAATTCAATCTCGATCTTGATGGTAAATATTAATGTTTTTTTCAAAAATATTACTAAATTTCTTTCAAAAAAAATATATTACTAAATTAATTTTCACAAATATGACTAATAGTTACTACAATATAGTATCATGATAAATTAATCCATATATATTCGACTACATTAACCAATCGATTTTATCACTTTTTTCTTTTTGCGATAAGGTATAAAAGAAAAGTCAACACAAAATATTATTCAACCTAAAAATCTGTAAAATCAAAGCAAATAATGAGCCCGTTTGGAATAATGAGCGAATTGAAATATGGGATGCAATGAACAGTTTGGGAGAAAATAATGAGCTCGTTTGGTAACCATGTTTTTCGGTTTATCAACAACCTTTTCATCAAGCATGTAATTTTTTGATTTTCACGCTGAATTGTGTAATAATAAGAAAAGTAAGGTTGGAGTTATTTTTCTGGCTGTATTGGCTGAAGTTACTATAGAAGATCATTTAAACTATTTTTCACATATTTTTTTATTTAATTAATAAAATATATTTTAAATATAATTTTTTACATAAATCAACCAATACGGCCACTTCGGCTAGAACTTCATAAATTTCAGCAGAATCAGCCGATTTTGGTATTAATAAACGGACCCAATATATAATACTCGTTTTTGACATTTTTGGCATTTAAAGTTGTTAGCTTAGTCTCACTCTTATTAACCAGATTGATTGTGATCATTTATGAAGTGAAGAACGTTATCATTGGATATGTTCAAGTTCAAGTGTTCATCCAACGTTATTGAATGTATTTGAGTTTGAACCATATTTTCAAAATCATTAGTGTATGCATTTCATTTCAGAATATAATCATTTGACTTTGAACATATTCCTTCACAATTGTTGGCATGATGAGATGCTGTTAAAATTGCACACCCGAAATGTTTGAGTCAACGAAGTGCTATATTAAGATTGAACCCCAGGTTTTATAGTGTGAGTTACTCCTTCTATCAGGTTGACCTTTTAGGATGGAACCCCAGGTTTTAACATGGTATCAAAGCCAAAATCGATCCATGGTGTGGGCCCCCTGATGAAAAATGATTGACACGATCCAAGCGAATTGATGAAAAAAATGAATGACGACACGATCTAGACGAAGAGTCTGGTTGTGACGAGAGGTGTTAAAATCCCACACCGGAAATGTTTGAGTCAACGAAGTGCTATATTAAAACATGAGCTATTCCTCCTATCAGGTTGATGCTTTAGGATGGAACCCCATGTCTTAACAGATGCACATATTAATGATTTTGAAAATGGAGTAAGATTTCATCCAAACCACAGAAAGATGAGAAAAGTGCACATGTTCATGCAATATATACAAAGAAAACACCTAAAAATAAAGCTTACAGATTGTTGGTGAATGTGACCCATGCTCCCTGATGCATTGCACAAGTATGGGGAGCTTAATGCCTGCACAAACTTCTGGCCTCAGATTTAAGGTGTGGTGTGCTCTAGTAATTAAAAATAAAGATATACTAATATATACATATAGTTTTCTTTATTTATTTTTTTGAAGTGAGAACTTTTTATCCAGTTTAATTTCCAAACCACGAAGAGTTTCAACAATTTTTAAGTAGAAAAAAGGCCCTCGAGATGATCGAGTATACATTAACAGGTCGCTTCAATTTCAACATTGAATGATCTTAGATTCTTAGTAGCTAGATATATACTCTATTCAATTCGAAATAAATTTGTTGTTTTCCTTCGTCTGCCATCTAAAAAATAATCTTTCTTATTTTCTTTCAAGAAAAATCTTTGAATACTTTTTAATTAAGACATAATATAGTAGTTTAAGAGAGCTTACATAGTAGTTTAGTAGTTTCTATTTTATCGATGTGTGAAAATACGTTAACACTATTTTATTTCACTCCTTTCTATTATGTGCTAATTTAAAAATAAAAAGTATACTTGGAGGGAGTATTAATAAGAGGGATCTTAAAATTCACTAGTTTTAAGTTTCAATAATGTTTCGTGTAGACGCTAGTTGTACATCGCATTTTACACGTCAAACATAGACAATTTTTTTTCATTTTGTAAAGAGAATTATTTTTCGCACCGACAAGATTTTTTATCTGTGACACAGATATGTTCTTTTGTCGATGCAAAAAACAACTCTATTCACAAAATGAAAAAAAAAACTATCGGCATAAACAATTTGGTTACATGTAAAATGTTCATACAATTTGATGTGTACAAATTAAAAAAACATTTTTTTACATTTTAACTGGTAAAGAAACTGATAGAGGGGGACCTGAATTTGAGAGTGCAGGAATGTGATATACCCTATGGCTTCTGACAAGACGGAGGCTGTGTCGGTCTGTACAAGGGAAAACACCAACAAGTTACAATTTATAACTAAAAAAAAGAATGACATCTCATCCGTGAGTGTCCCCAACCCCGACCGAACGGTACGTTGGAAGGATGTAAATTGAACTATAATCCCAATCTGACAGAGAGAGAGTGGGGCCCTGTCTCCGATACTTGAAGAGGCCCTATGCATTTTTAGCATAGTAACCCCTCATCGCAGTTGTCGGGATTCGAATCCGGGACCTAACCCTTGTGTCACTCCCTTACTACCAGTTGAGCTACGGCCATCTCGTTTTTTTTTATAACTCAAAAGTCATTGCTAGATAATGTTAGTACAATTGTTCTAGCAACATTGTATCATACCTTCATACGTTTTAATTAATCTCATGTTTTTGAATTTGCATACTTGTTTGTGGTGGAATACTTGAGTCATTTTTATCAAGTCATTTTTAATGAAGAAGAATATAGAAAATTTAGTTGGAATATACTAGTAATTCCACAATTTAATGTCTAAGTCATTTTTACCTCAATACTTAAGTCAATGTCCCATCAAGACACAAGTATGAAACCCCCTTGATACTTGATTAATTCTTATAAAAGAATAATAAAATTATAATTTTTTTCAAAAGTGAGTTAAACTTATATAAACAAACAATGACATACTTGTCATGTAATATGTTTGGTCCCATTTAAAGATCAATTTACTTTTGATTGTTTCTGATTCCTTTTGTGGACCAGACAGCCATTGATGGGTTTGTGTCTTTGTATATTTGTGCTATCAAAGTTAATAAAGCAAAAGGAATTTTGAAGTCTATGGGAGTGCGTAACAACCACTCTTTTATTTATAAAGTAAAGTTATTTTAACCACAAAAAATACCTGCTTGCATGGCCGAAAAAGTTATTTATACGGAGAATCTAAGTAAACAATTAATTTTACTCGTATTATTAGTTACCAGAAAAATTCACTTGGTTTTTACTTCTTAGCTTCCATTATACTCCGTATATATTTTACTTCCCTAGCTAATTATTTTGTGCCTGCTTTTTAAAATATATTTAGTAATAATACTTTGAATATCTCAAATTTTGAGTTGTGTAATAGTTCAAGTAGTATGTTTGTAGAATATTTGTAACAATAGTAATGATATGTTTACATATATATATATACTTCAAGTAATAAGAATTCAAGTAAATCATATGCAATAGCCTTTGAATTCTAAAAAAATTAGTGTTTAAATACTCCGTAGTTTTTAAACAATAACTTTACAATCTGCTACTCCCTTAGTTTAATTTTTGTAATTTTATTACTACGTATATAATTTCTTTTTTCAAATTAAAAGTACATTAAGAGAATAAATTTCCGTACTACTCATTTTTATTTCTTAACCTTTTATTAATTTATTCATAAGTATTTATTACTAAAGGATTTTATTTGAACTCTTTAAAGAATACTAACTGAACAAACAATTACAGCTATTTCCCCTAAAATATTAATAAAAACATTTAGAGATAAAAATATGACTAGTAATTATGAATATCTTCTATAGTCACAAAATATAGAATTTGAACATGATTATAATTACTAAATGTTACTAAGCCACATACATTGTTAGTTTTTCAATATCCTTATATTAGGTATGGTTTTATAACTAAAAGTCTAAAACCAAAGGAGAGGCATAAGAAACTTAATTGCAACCTCACTTCAAAAATGTCAATTTTTGCTAATTATATAAAAAGGTAATTCATTTTTATAATTGTACTCCATTTCTATTTGTCCTCACAGTTTAATTTTCGTGTAAGGTGAGGGATGATTAAGTCTGTGCTGATTTGTTTAAGTCTGATCAAAATGTGGTATAGGTGCATTTAGTATTACCCAAATCTGCCCCAGTTTGTTTAATTCTAATATAATCTCATTTAGTTTCATTTGTCTAAATTTGATAGGATAGGATTTGAGATTGAAAGAAATTCAAATAAAAACATTATAAGTTCCCCTATTCGATCAAAAGAAAAAAGAAAAAAAAAGACCTAAACATACCTTTCCGAATGGGGAAACAAGTTGGTGAAGAGCTGTGACTCTATCCCCTAGCTTCTCTTTCCTGACCTGCTTGCTTCAAATATATAATAATAATTCCCTAATTAATAAAATACGATAATTTAGCTACTAATCGTCATATAATAAATCTATAATCTGATTTTAGAGGCAGATCATATATGTGTAAATACCTACGATATATAAGAAAAAATACAATCACCTTTAAAGATGGCTGCTGACTTGAAGCTTGATTATGGCTGACCCTAGGTCTCTTAGATGCTCCTCCACTATTAGTGCTAGTGCTAGTGCTGTTACACTGTAAACATCAATAATTATTTCTTGTTATTTATTTCTCAGGATGATCTTTTATTTCTGGTAATTAAATTATATTCCGTATTGAAACCGAAGTTCCATTTTTATCACGTATAATAAGCATTCAAAGAAGGTCATTTCTTAAACAAGCAAAAAATTTAAACAACAATGTTGAAATGACAAATTAGTTATTGATAATAAACTACTAGTATGTTTTTGAAATGCATTGAATTCAATATCAATCACATAAACTCACTTTTCTTAATAACCGTTTTGTTTGATGCTGAAACCTAAATAAAACTCAGTTTCTCCAAATCTGATCTACATTGTAGTATATTCTTTGTAATTATTTTTTATCTCATACCACGTATACCACTGGCTGGGCAGCAACTACAGTGCAGTATAAGGTACCATGTACTACATATGAGTACGATGTGTTTGACACCGTTTTGCACTGTTTTGATGAAAATAATTTGCCATAATAAAGAGAGAAGAAGTGTGAAGTTTATTTTAGATGTACCCAAAAAAGAAAGTGTGAAATTTTTCGGCCCTTAGTATTTTATTAAAACAAATTGAAGATATGGCCGGTTTGTCCTTGGTCTTCCACTAGTTAAGTACTTGAATTTACGTGTGCCCACACATAGATTTATGAATAATAATACGTGTAATCACATCAAACTCACGCAAAACTCTGTCACACATATATACTAAGGGCCGGTTCTGAGGGGCAAGAGGGGGACCGCCCTAGGCCCGAAAAAAATAGAAGAAAAAAAAGGTCCAAAAATTTTCTTTATATATAGTGTAAGTAGCCTTCTTCTTTTATTCTTAAGTTTAATTAATTAGGTTTAATGATTAATTTTGTTGACATTTTGAAAATTTAAAACATAAATAAAGAGTCTTAAACAGAGACAAGTTTAAAACAGAATATATACATTAATTTTTAGCAGGATCGTTGTAGTTTTTAGAAGAAATACAATTGTTGTTGCATAAATAAAAGACACCTCTCCAGTCCTCACATCTTTTTAGCTTTTAAGCTTTTTTATTCAATTTAATTATAACATAACAAATTTATATAATTATTTTAGAGCTCGTTTCTCTCAAATTTCACCCCAATTATTCATATGTTTCCAAATTTCAATAAGTTATATTTGAGTTCCTAATAGTAGTTTTAGAGGACGTCAAATTTGCAATCTTCTTGCGCGAGTCCTCTTGGCAGCCAAACATTTTGTCTCTTTGAAAATCTTCATTCTTTCGAGACTTCAAACTTTAGACTCTCATCGCCGGTCAGAAAAATTATTCTCAACTTATGAATTCAATAAGTGGTTTTATTTCTTTTCATTTATTCTTTCAAAAGAAAGATCACTGTTGTTATATGTGGCAATTTTATTGTTTATCATATTTATTAGTGGAAAGAAGATTTCCTATGAAGCAATTATTAATCATTTTCTTCACATTGGTCAACGAGAAACGTTTTTAAGTAATGTTTTTTTACTCAATACTCGTGTTGTTACTTTTGGCCAAATATGTACCTTATATAATAATAAAGCGATTCTCGTTTTTATTTTATGATTTTTGGCTTTTCAAGCTTATCAACCAACTTTTTTAACAAACACATGACTTTTGGTTTTCCGTGCTAAATTGTGTAATAATAAGAAAAATTAAGGTTGAAGTTACTTTTCTGACTGTATTGACTGAAGTTACTGTTGAAGATCATTTTAGTTATTTTTTCATATAATTTTTTCTTTATTTTATTAATAAAATATATTTTAACTATATTTTTTCACAAATCTGCACAACCAGTCAATACAACCATTTCAGCCAGAACTTCTTAAGTTTCAGCAGAATCAGCCAATACAGCCGATTTGATATTACCAAATGGGTCCTTTATTTTATTCCTAAAATACTCCGTATTAAGTTCTAATATAAAGCCAAATAACTTGTACTTTATTTCGATGATACTAATGTGACGCTCCCAAAGAGAAGGTTAGAGGATCCAAACTAAATCAATTCAAGGAAGTTAACATTTAACTTACTACCAAGTACTCCGTATAATATTTAAGAATGTTGTCATAAAAGAATAAAACAGAAAAACATTTAGGAATGAATGAGTCTCATTTTTAGAAAACGCTAATGCTCATCATATTTAAGAAAATATGCTATGCAACAACTCTTTTTGTTCATCAGCAGTTGTGTTTGAATATTTAATTCATATGCATTTAATAATTCTTTTATTATTTCGTCTCTGATTTCATTTACACAAACACTATTTTGATTTATTGGGGATTTTAGATTATTTCCAAATGTTTTGAATTTTGAGTAAATAAATTTTAGTTCTTTCGTAAACTATGATGATTTCAAACCCGGCAAATATATATATATATATATATATATATATATATATATGGATTCCAAAAAAATGATTGAATACGTACAAATGTTTGAATTATGGGATTAAAATGAAATATTTAATAATAACTAGATGTAATCTAGACAAAATCTTAATCAGATGATAAGACTAAAAATGACATTTAAATACATTTTTTGCAAATACATCCTCCGATCACATCAATTATGTTGTTAAATTGGATAAATGATATACTACGTATATAGTTAATACCAAGATACATTAATTAATTAGAGGTTAGAGGTATACATGATTGAGAAGGAAGAATAAATAATAATATGTTGCGGATCAGGATTGGATTATATTTGTAGAACAGAGCAAGAAAGTGTATTGGACCATCTCTTGATCAGAGTGATGTATAAAGTAGTACAAATTAAAATAATAGTTAATCAGATATTTCAATATCATTGTATCTTTTCTTTTTGTTTCGTCCGATTTTCTCACACTAAATTTAGTAAAGTTTGTGTGGTTCTAAATATACTTTTCTGAATAAATGTAGCACCTCCTTATGTCCCAATAATAATATTGTAGGATGGCAATATGGCAAAATGAATAATTTAAAGGGATAAAAATAAACATAAAAAATCAAATCTAATATTCAAATAATGTAATTGAATTAGGATTTTACCTCGTATGAATGCTTGGAAGCATCTGGTCTGTTTTCGTCTTGCAGGGACTTACTATAAGGGCTTCTTTGGTGCTGCTGCTGATTCCTAGAAGAAGCTACAGAAGCAGTAGATGTTTGGAAATATTGGCGATGATGATCTTCTAGTACAAGAGGAATGGGATCCTGGCCGTACATCTGTCCTATCCTATGAAACTCATCATCTTCCTTAATTACATTATCAACAGAAGCAGCAGCAGATGATGATGGATGATTGTTATTATTCAAACCAATTTCATCATCCCAATTCTCCTCAGCCTTCTTGTACTGAAAATGACTCATACCAAACTTTTCATTTTCATTGCCACCCAATCCACACCTTAATTATGCACAAAACAAAAAAACCATCAAATTCATTATTTCCATCCATATTCCCAATTTCCCATCTTTAATTAAACAATAAGCTAACAAATTAAACAGTCTTTTCCTCATACTACTTCCATTCCAAAGTCTCTTCTATCTGATCTCTCAATGTCCCAAAGAACACATTTGTGAAGAAAAGACAGAAACAATACAAATTACAATTAAAAAGCTGTCAATACATAATGGAAAAGAAAGGAGTGGTAAAATGCATAAATGGTACCTTAGTCATTGATAATGTTGTGTTCTGGTACCTTAACTTTTAAATGAATCAAATCAGTACCATAACTATATATATATATATATATATATATACACACACACACACACACACACATATATTTCAATTGACAATATAATTCAAAAAAGCATATGTGGCGGCCGTATTGTGTGCGTAAACTCCACTTCACCTAACTTTTGTTCATGTCAAATGTCATCACTCTAGGATGGACTCTCCACATGGAATTTTGATCGCCACGTAGGATTTTTTAATGCAAATTCGAATATTGTCGATTGAAACATTTATGTATAGTTATGTTACTGATTTAATCATTCAAGAGTGAAAGTACCAAAACACAATAATATCAATAATTGAGGTACCATTTATATATTTTACCCGGAAAAAAACACCAAGAATAACTACAATAAATTTTAATGTGATGAATAAACATGAATGTCAACCTTAAAATCAAGCAAATGTTCAATTGAAGCTCAAAGTCCAAAAAAGGACAACATAATAAAAACATGATTATTAAAAGTGCTAATTTTTAAAACCTCCTGAAATATGATCAGCTATGGAAGTCTTTCTTTTTATGGTGGATGCATTGAAGTTTGAAAACTTTTATTTTACAAATTTAACTATTCAGGAAACTAAAAACTAAAAGTTAGAGAGAGAGATATACATGAGGAGTTGGCTGAGTGGGCGTGGAAAATCTTGGCTTTGGGCTTCAGCCAAAGAATTGAAAGATCCATAGAAATGTTGATGCGGTTCAGGAGACGGCGGCGAGGAGGACTGTAAGAACTGATAAGAAGAAGGCGCCGCCGGCTGCGGTGGCGGGTCCATATTATTGCTTGCGTTGACCACCACGCTCCACCAGTTATTAGGGTTTCCTCCGGCCATCATTTGCCACTGAAATTGCTTCCCAACTAACAACCCACTAAAGACTACTACCTCCAAATCCACCACAGCATCATATCATATATAGATATCATATTTCTTTATTAAATTATGAATGATCAAGAACCTTTCTTTTTTCTTTCTTTTTTGAAAATCAAAAGAGATATACTTTGGCATGGTATGGGAGCAAAAAAACAAACAAAAAACAAAACCCTTTTGCTTCTCTTTTAAGCTTTTTTGCTCTTTCAGCTACAAACCACTTGGTTTACATCTTTTCCCTTAATTGCACACTCAAACGAGGCTTTTCTGAAGCTTTCATGGGTTGACAGTGTTTGCTTTTCACAGGATCAATAGTGTATTTATGTCCCTCTCAACCATGTAGTGGTAGTCTTTCTTACTTGCGGGGCTCATCATTTATATAAACCTTTTTTATTTTTTGTGGGTTTATAATCTTCCCCCCTGCATCAGCTTTATTCTAAGGTGGGGACTCCTTGTCTGATCACTCCATATTTGTTTTCATGTTTATATATATAAAGTGCATTAGATGGTTTAATGCACGTTAAAATCCCTTTTTATTTGAATCCTCTTATATATAGAGATATATTTCTATCCGGAACTACGGATAGGAACCGTTGTCCGGACGGCAGCGTTTTGGCCTCTTCCTGGTCGATTTTTTTGATGAAATTTTTATACCATGTTTTTCATCAAGTTTAGTTTATCCACAAAATAATTCAGCTAAAAATTCAATCGAGGAGACCGTTAAATAATTTTTGAAAGTTAACTGTGTTTTATATGTATATTTTGGATGCAGTTATCTTCCAAAAATCATTTGACGGCCTTCCCGATTGAAATTTTAGCTAAACATTTTTGTGGATAAACTGGACTTGACGAAGAACATGCCATAAAAATTTCATCAAAAAATTCCACCAAGAAGGACCCCAAATGCTGCCGTCCGGACGACGGTTCCGGTCAGGCCTTCAAGACCGGAAGATTACTCTCTCTCTCTCTCTCTCTCTCTATATATATATATATATATATATATATATATATATATATATATATATATATATGATGCAATTCAAATGAGAATAATGTTTAACATGAGAACATGAGAATATTCATATGTAACCAGACGTGATGCACAGTGGAAATCTTCTGATGCACTTTTTAACTTTGCTTGAACCAAGTCAATATTAAATAATTAAGGTGGCATTTTGGTAAGTATAATGTTTAACGGGAAAAAGTGAAACGGCTGAGCCTCATTGTGTATCACACGGGGGTAAATGTGGTGTTCTTTCATTAAACATTGTTTTCATTTGATCTTGAATATTAACCGGTGATTGCAATAAATGAAAGGTCATGATTAAAATTTCTCGTTTTAAGAGGGGTTCTCACTATATGTGTGTGCCACATTAGGATAAATGTGTGTATTCGTTTTCACGATAAGGTTTCTTATTGCGGGTTTCTTAAAATATTACTAATAAAAATGTCATGAACAAAAAAGTGACTTAGTAATATTTAGTGACTATAATTATGTTCAAAAATTACATCATTGTCACTACATCATAGTAACTTTGAATATAATTATAATAACTAAAACTTACCAATTCATATTTTTGTACATGTTTGGTATATGGCCAGCATGGGGCACACCCACATACCCCCAGCGGCGCCCCAACGGGCCCAACAACCTGATAAGGGAACCCAAACCCGAGCAGCATGGGCCGGGCAGGGAAGGCTCTTTGAAGAATCACCAGATTGCTATCGATGAATACCTAGCTTTCTCCTCTAGAAGAGAATTACCAAGAAAACAAAAAAATAGTGAGAAGTGCATTTAATGCATCAAATATGAAAGATTTTCTGATGGGGGTTAGCCACCCAGGGCTCGTCACGTCACTTGCACTTAATAGCTTAACTTCTCAATCTAGTTTTTCTATATTATTTTAGAGTAGAATAGAGGGCCAGGGCTCGAGCTCAGTAAGAGTGCGCTAAAATTGTTCTAAATCCATCAAGAGAACTTGGCCCAACCACTTTACCTCCTACTCTTCTTGTTATTGCTTTTCCCTCCTTAATTGCTTAATCCATCGATGAAAAGATATATAACTCATTAAAGATTTAACCAAAGCCCAAGGGAACATGGTGGGTTATGATCGCATTTGGCATCAATAAAATTCAATGAATTGACTGTTTCTGTTGAAATTTATGAAGTTCTAGCTGAAATGGCAGAATTGACGGATTTTGCTTATTATTGAAAAAATTATATTTAAAATATATTGTATTTATAAAATAAAGAAAAAGTTGTATGAAAATAGCTAAAATGGTCCGCTACAGTAACTTTAGCCAATTCAGTCTGAAAAATAATTCCAGCCTTAATTATTTTGATTATTACACAATTCAACGCGCGAAATCAAAAGTTGCATATTTTATGAAAAATTGGCTGACAAGGCTGATATGTCGAAAAATAAAGTCACCAAATAGTCTTTATGTCTCAAGAAAGGTTTAATGAATTAGCATTTTTAAGCATTGAAGATGAGATTTGAGAAAGATTGACTTTGAAGCAAATATTGAGTACTTTTCTTCACAATGTTTTGTGAGAAACGTTTTAAGTAATATTTTTTGCGAAAGGTTTAATACTTTTCTTCACTATGATATTTGTTTTGTTACTTAACTTACTTTGTCCCAAATATGTAATTTTAAATAACAATATAGTGAGTTTCACCTTTATTTTGTGACCTTTATTACATGGTTTTATTATTATAATCCATATTATTTTAAATAAGTAGGATTTATTGTTTTCTTGAATATAAGCCCAGAATAGTATGTCTTGAATTCACGCTCAGAGGCCCGAAAATAGACAGAACCACCCATGGTCCGTGGGCACTGAAGTTAGTCGTCATAGATGTTAAAAGTTCAATTCCAAATAAATAGGAATTTTGCATATGATACAATGTAAATATTTGTTACCTCTTAAGTATTGTTAATTGATACAATTAAAAACTTATGACATTATTAATAGCTACATAAGGCGGTAATGGTGTATTGCACCCTTAATGATATTTTCTTTTGGACTCTTTTTAGTCCCAGACCAGACCAGATCAGAATAGTTCAGACCAGACCGGACATGATCAAACCAGATCAAACAAGACCAGATCAACAAATTTCAGTCCAAAAGAAAACATCCTAAGTATCTATTCATTTAATAATAATTAGTTAATTATTACTTAATCATTTTATTATTGATATGTCCTTTTCATATAGTTTTAAAATCAAATAGAAATATACTCCGAGTGTTAGATTGAATCTTTGTGTTATGAGTGAGTGGATGAGTGTACAAGAGTCCTTTGAGCTTGTGATCCTGGAAGAGATTGGTCGGGATCATGTTTTCCCCAACAGTGAGAAAGAGCCTCGTGAGAGCCTCCTCAAGTGATGAGTAAGAGAGAGTCTTAAGGAGAGCTCTCGAGTGAGCGAGAGCCTCCTTTAGAGAGGGGAGTAAGAGTGAAGTAAACTATCCGTTTGCTTGTAAATTATCTCTTGTGCATTTCAATTGTATAATACAGAGTACAAAGTGATATTGTTAGATTGAATCTTTGTGCTACGAGTGGGTTGGTGAGTGTACAAGAGTCCTTTGAACTTGTGATCCGGTGAGAGATTGGTCGGGGGTCATGTTTTCCCCAACACTATGAAATATTAAAAATATTGTCAATTGAACTAGTTAAACTGGAGCTGCTGGAGAAGCTAGAAAACGGAGGGAAAGAGGAAAAAGGAAAGAAAAAGTAAAAAAGTGTCATCGGACTTCTCACGTATGCACAATTACTAGAATCGGATGTTAACTTGATAAACTAGACATGTTAAGTCTTTTCTATAGGTGAAGGTCTTAATTAATTGAGCGTTTTTCATTTCAAATCTTTAATGATTGACTTTTTTGATATACTACGATAATTTTTGACAATTTTTCTTACAAATTAGGTTGGAATTTTATATTTTCTTACTCAATATAATTTTTTTTTATGCTCTATGGTTCTGCCTCTGTCTGTATTATAACTCAATCCTCAAGTTACTAGTGAGAAATCAGACATCATAAATTAATCTGAAATATAACAAAGGTTATTAGTCTATATCCATCTAACGAGGAAGTTATTTTCCTCATTACATCCCATTCCCATCATAGCTATTAAGCTATGTTTACTATATAATGTTTGAATTTGTAACCGATATACTATCTATTCAGGTTGTGAAATCAAATAAGATAAAAAGAAATAAATAAATTATTGGGGTAAACATTACGGATAAACTAATCCCATGAAATAAGATTGTTATGATAGAAGAACTGACGGACGTTATTTCAATAGAACTAAAAGTGTGCTGAAATTAGAAAGCACTTATGAAATTATGATATGCTATCTTGATTCCTAAAGATCAAGGCTCATAGTGTAGTAAAAGATAAAGATAATGATATGTAGAGGGCCAATAATGTAAGAGAAATGTTGAGAAAATACATAGAACATGCTCACTACAAAGCATGTGATGAACGATCGAGATATTTTAGATGAATAAATCTTTATCATTCATCATGCTAACGTGTGCCGTAGTGAGCATGTTGGCGTACTGTATATATTTTCTCGAGAAGTGTTTAGTTTATACGAAATATAATTTTAAATCGCAACACTCTATCGATTTATTAGAAGAGAAATAATGATATAATCCAATTACTTTCAATTAAATAATTACATGGAATCCGATTTGAACTGATTTAAGTGTCTTTTGATCTATGTTCGATCACGTGTGATTTTCGGTCAACAGTGTCTGAGTAATGAGACATTTAAATCTCTCTACTAACATAGGCAGGACAATATATTAGGGTGAGTTTTTGGAAAATTGTTTACACGACATTTTTACACTTATATTTTAATTCAAATTGAAATTTGGAGCAAGTCTAGGCCTTGATTGCCCCCTAGCCATGCCCCTGGAACTCACTTGATAATAATAAAATCATTGTTAATAATTAAATTTATAAGTCAGAAATTGTAAAAATCAAATTCTGGATACAAGATTTATGATCCATTTGAGTTTATCGTGAGTGTTATTTTGTGAATTTAGAGCCTGTTTGGTTCATATTCTGCTGAAATTTATAAAGTTGTGGCTGAACTGGTTGAATTGTCTGATTCTACTGATTTATGGAAAATTATATTTAAAATATATTTTATTATTAAATTAAAAAAAAATTATATGAAAACAGCTAAAATAAGCTTCTACATTTATTCCAACCAATACAGACAGAAAAGTAATTCTATTTTACTTTTTCTTGTTATTACACAATTCAATGAGTGAAGTCAAAAATTACGAGTTTGATGAAAAGATGCACCGATAAGTTTTTTTTATCGTAGTTGGCTAATAAGTTGATAAACCAAGAAACCTTGTCGCCAAATCGCTCTTTAATTACTGGACAAAAATAGCATAATTTACATGAATCGTTTCCCAAC